TGAGTTCAGTCCCCGGTACCAAAAAAAACCAAGAAAACTAAATATGGAAGGAAAGTGTGCAGAGCAAGTTAGCATTGGTAAACAGTCAGTAAAGGGTAGACGTTGTTATCTTAGACATTGTTATCTGAGCCCTGACTGTTGGCACTGATGCCTCTGCTCCATAACATACACTAATCAGGAAAAAGATCTGTATTCTCCGTCCCTACCAATATTCATTCACAGAACTGAGTCTCCTTGTTTCCATTTCCTCCCAATGACATTAATAATTTTGTGCTCAGGTGTTAATCTTCACAGAAGCCCTACAAGCCAGGTACTTTTGTTACTCTGTTTTACAGATCAGGAAACTTAACTCTCAGAAAGCCCATACTAATGGCATATGCAGAGCAGGGGCTTGAACCCCAGTCTGTGTCATCCAAAAGCCCATAAAGTGATCTCTCTCTCACGATCCTGAACACTCAGGAGTTGTCTTCTCCACCTCTCAGTCTCACACAGGTCTCACCATACAGAAGCAGGGGTGGTGCTGACTCTGGGCCAGGGAGATGTGGGCCAGCTGGGGCTGGGTGAGAATGTGATGGAGAGGAAGAAGCCAGCCCTGGTGCCCATTCCAGAGGAGGTGGTTCAGGCTGAGGCTGGGGGCATGCACACCGTGTGTCTCAGCAAAAGTGGCCAGGTAGGTTGGGGGCTTGGTACAGGGCTGGACAGGACCTGGGGTTGGGGAGTTCGGAGCAGTAGCTTTGAGCCATGTACATTTTGCTGTGGAGATAGAATTGGCCAGCCAAGCAGGAAGTGGCCTAATCAAGAATGGACTGGGAGGCCAGGCCTTGCACTAATGGGGGCATCCTGGGCACAGATCTACTCCTTTGGCTGCAACGATGAAGGTGCCCTGGGAAGGGACACATCGGTGGAAGGCTCAGAGATGGTCCCCGGAAAAGTGGAATTGCAAGAGAAGGTGGTACAGGTGTCAGCAGGAGACAGTCATACAGCAGCCCTCACTGAGGATGGCCGTGTCTTCCTTTGGGGCTCCTTTCGGGTAAGACTGGGTCTGGAAGAATGCAGTTAACCTGGGGGCCCCCCAAAATAATCTGCTTCCCTGCCCCTACTGTGCTTTCTTACTGATGGGAAAATGAAGGCCCACAGGCAGAGCTGGAGCCCAGACCCAAGTCTCTGGCTTCTTCATCTGGACCTGTCCACACCACTGGTTGTTTCCTTGAATCTGACGCTTTTGGGCTGGGGCTGACCCAGAAAGCTGCTGCTTTAATCCATGTCTCTGCCTCAGCTCCTCCTTCCCCTTCTAGGCCTCTTCCACATTTCACAGAGGCTTTAGGAGAGGAAGCCGTGGGGGGTGGGATTGTCACAGCTCAGTGATTCTAAGACATGGAGAGCATACTTTGTGAGCCTTTTTTTTTTTTTTTTTTTTGGTACAGGGGATGGAACTCGGGGCCTTGCGGTTGTGAGGCAGGCAGCAGCACCACTGAGCTAAATCCCCAGCCCACAGAGAGCATACTTTAAAAAAACAAGGGCGGGCTGGGGATTTAGCTCAGTGGTTCTGCCTCCTGCCTCGCAAGTGCAAGGTCCCGAGTTCAATCCCCAGAAAAAGGGCCCGGGATTTAGCTCAGCGGCACTGTGCCTGCTTGCCTTGCAAGCACAAGGTCCTGAGTTCGATCCCTGGTACCAAAAAAAACAGTTTCAGGTTGGGCGTGGTAGTGCACACCTGTAACCCCAGCACTGAAGGATGAAGGAGGAGGGTCGCCACAAGTTCAAGGCCAGCCTGGGCTACATAGTGAGTTCAAGGACTACATAGCAAGACTTTGTCTCAAGCCAAAAAAAACAGCTTAAGCACTAAAATTCTTTAGTATTTTTATATTTATTTGGAAATATAAAAATTAAGCAATCTGAGCTGAGCATGGTGGTACACATCTATAATCCCAACATTTGGGAAGCTGAGGCAGGAAGATTGCTGCAAGTTTGAGGCTAGCCTGAATTTACATGGTAAAACCCTGTCTCAGGACTGGGGATTTAGCTCAGTGGCACCGAGCTTGCCTGGCAAGCGCAAAGTCCTGAGTTCGATCCCTGGTACCAAAACAAAAAACAAAACCCTGACTCAGAAAAACATGAAGCCCAGGTGTGGTGGTGCACATCTGTAATCTCAGTGCTTGGGAGGCTGAGGCAGGAGGATTGCCACGAGTTCGAGGCCAACCTGGGCTATACAGTGAGTTCAAGGGCAGCCTGAACTACATAGAGAAAAAGGGCCAGGGCCAGGGATTTAGCTCAGTGGTTTTGCCGCCTGCTGCACAAGCGCAAGGACCTGAGTTCGATCCCCGGTACCAAAAAAAAAAAGGGCCAGGGGTGTAGCTCAGCAGCTCCATATCTGCCTGGAAATTACAAGGTTCTGAGTTCGATTCCCGGCAACGGGAAAAAGAAAAGAAAGCAATCTGATGTATCTTTTCTCATCAAGCCTGTTTGAAAATTCTTAATTTTTATGGAGAATACCCTAAGTAATCAGAATAATATATATATTTATATATTTTGGGGGGGTTACCAGGGATTAAACTTGGGACCTTGCGCTTGTGAGGCAGGCAGCAGAACCACTGAGCTAGCTCCCCGGCCAGCATAATATATTGAACCTCCATTTACTTATATACAACTTCAGTGATTATCAGCTTTTAGCCAGACTTGTTTATCTTTACTAACTCATATCTACATCTCTGTTCTTTGGGTATTTTAATGGAAATCTCAGAACACACATGATTTCATTCATAAGTATTTCAGAATGTGGTCTGGCTCCAGTCTGCCTCTCCATCTTTGCCTGCTGCCATTTATTGCTCTGCACCACACAGCTCTGTGGCCTCCTGCAAGCCTGGGTTTGGCTGGCACAACTGGCTGATAAGTGCTGTCTCCCTCCCTTCTAGGACAATAACGGTGTCATTGGGCTGTTGGAACCCATGAAGAAGAGTATGGTGCCCGTGCCAGTGGAGCTGGATGTGCCCGTGGTGAAGGTAGCCTCAGGTTAGTCTGGGGGTCCCCACAGTGGGCAGGAGCTATAGAATCTTGTTCTGGGCTGGCTCAGCCTCTGGCCTTGCAGACGAACCCTGCATCACCTGCCTTCCTCTTACTTTCAGGAAATGACCACTTGGTAATGTTGACAGTTGATGGCGACCTCTACACCTTGGGTTGTGGGGAGCAGGGCCAGCTGGGCCGTGTGCCTGAGTTATTTGCCAACCGTGGTGGCCGGAAGGGCCTTGGTAAGTGGCTTTGGTACCTCCAGTGGGGCAGCTTGGCAAGCTACCCCCTGATAGAGGCTAAAGGTAGGATGGACTCTGTGTTCTAGCTTGCATCAAACGGACTTGAAGTGTTAGTTAAGAACTCAAGCTTGAGGGGCGGGGATTTAGCTCAGTGGTTTCGCCGCCTGCTGTGCAAGTGCAAGGACCTGAAGTTCGATCCCCGGTACCAAAAAAAAAAAAAAAAAGAACTCAAGCTTTAAGCCAGGTGTGGTGGCGCATGCCTGTAAACCAGCACTTGGGAGGCTGAGGGAGGAGGATTGCCACAAGTTCTAGACAGCCTAGACTTCATAGTTTAAAGTTACCCTGCATTACATAGAGAAACCCTGTCTCAAAAAGTACAATGAAAAAACCACTCAGCCTTTGGAGGCTGACTACCTGGGTTTGAATCTTATTCTGGTGCTTCCTGGCTCTGGTGCCCTAGATATAGTTTGCTTCTCTCTAAACCCACCTACCTCTAACCCTGCTTCTTTGGATTGTTATGAAGATAAATGAGCTAATTAGAAGAGTGTCTGGCACATGGTAAGTTCCACCTAAATATTACCTATAACTGAGAAACTGAGCAAAATATTTGCACTTTTTTGGTCTCAAGTTTTCTCTTCTGTAAAATAGGGAGTGGGCCGGGGATTTAGCTCAGTGGCACCACAGCTACCTTGCAAGCACAAGGTCCTGAGTTCAATCCCCCGTTACCATAAATAAATAACCCAGCTAGCCTCCTTCTGAGGGCTTTTGTAATGGAAGGGAAACAAATTCAGAGTCAGAGAACACTTCTCTTCCTACAGAACGACTCCTTGTCCCCAAGTGTGTGATGCTGAAATCCAGGGGAAGCCGAGGCTATGTGAGGTTCCAAGATGCCTTCTGTGGTGCCTATTTCACTTTTGTCATCTCCCGCGAGGGCCACATATATGGCTTTGGCCTTTCCAACTACCACCAGCTTGGTAAGTCCTGGACCCAGCATAGGCATGACCTGGTGACCTGGGTTCTAATCTTGGCCCCACCACTTCTTCACTGTGCACCCTTTGTGGGCTCACTGTGCCCCTCAGAGCTAGAGTTGTCTCATCTAGAAAGTGAGGCTATCCCTATCCTGGTGAGGGGGACCTTGCTGTGGGAAGGAATGGAGAAGGGCAGCTCCTAGAACACCTTCACCCTGATGACAGGAACACCAGGCACAGAATCATGCTTCGTACCACAGAACTTGACATCCTTCAAGAATTCCACCAAGTCCTGGGTAGGCTTCTCTGGTGGCCAGCACCATACAGTCTGCATGGATTCAGAAGGTAGGACCCCTCCTTTCTCTCCACTGGAGGCTTTGTTCCCTGGGCATGGACCTGGGTCTGCCCAGACTCCTGGAACCTGACCCTGTTTTGTGGATTGGGCCAGACATGGTTCCACCCCTATCCCCCAGTGTTCCGCTGGTTCCAAGGGTAAGTTCACCGGGGACCAGCATGTAGGTTCTCATAGGTCTCTCCTAAGATGAAAAGAGACATTGCAGACTTTCCTATCACCCTGGGAAGAGAAACAGGCTCCAAAGGACAGGAGAACTCACCTGAGCTGCCTTTTCCTCTGCCTGGGGCACGCCCTCTGCTACTGCTCATCTCTCCCCCTCCTCCCACAGGAAAAGCATACAGCCTGGGCCGGGCTGAGTATGGGCGGCTGGGCCTTGGCGAGGGTGCAGAGGAGAGGAGCATACCCACCCTCATCTCCAGACTGCCCTGTGTCTCCTCAGTGGCCTGTGGGGCCTCTGTGGGGTATGCCGTGACCAAGGATGGTGAGTGGGGCTGCCCACACCTGCTCTGGGTGGGACCTGGGGATCATGAGTCCTAGCAGACTCCCAGGAGGCTGTAATGTTGCCATCAGACAAAGCTGAAGCCCAAGAGCACATTGTGATGGTGCTGCTTTGCTCCTGCCTCTCAGAAGCTCCGGCTTTGGTAGACATACATGAGTAGACATTACTTTAATAGAGGTGCTTTGTTCTGCAGAGGAGGAATAAAAACAAAGGGTAAAATAGCACCGAGGCCAGGGAGGCAGTGGGACTTGAATGTGGGTCTCCAGACTCCTAACTCAGGCTCCTATTTACCAGGTTCCCAGGGAATTGTACTTAGAATCTTAGGGAAAGAAAGATTTAGTAGTCAGATCCTGGCTAGCACAGCAGAGGAAGCTGTGTGCAGGTGGCTGCCAAAGCCTGAGTGGGTGAGGGGCATAGCTGTGGAGATCTGTTGGAAGTTAGGCTGGCAGAGATTCTTGATATGAGGTTGTTCGAGAAGACTTCCTGAGGAAGTGGGGCTTACACTGCACCTTGAAGTTTCAGTCCTTTATAGACAGCACAGGATGATGTTCCAGGCAGAGGAGCATCCAGCACAGTCTCAAAGGTGGCTAGTCCTAAAATTTGGAAGGTTGGGCAAGGGTTTGGGGACCAGCCACCCATGTAGGGCTTTGAATGCCATGGCTAGGAACAGAAGAAATCTTTGGCAGTTTTTTTTTTGTGGGGCAGGGAGTACCAGGGATCAAACTCAGGACCTTATGCTTGCGAGGCAGGTGGCAGAACCACTGAGCTAATTCCCCACCCCTTTTGGCAGTTTTTAAGATCATCATCTCCTTGGCTTCTCTCAACTTAGCTGAACACTCAGGAGCTGGTACCTCGCCAGGCTGCTGTTGGCCAAGGCAAATATTCATCACTATGTCCCCAGCTTCTGATAGCTTGGAAACATGGGGCTAGGGATCTTGGAGACAGCCACCCCCATTTCTGTCTTGCAGGCCGTGTTTTTTCCTGGGGCATGGGCACCAACTACCAGCTGGGCACAGGGCAGGACGACGATGCCTGGAGCCCTGTGGAGATGACTGGCAAACAGCTGGAGAACCGTGTGGTCTTATCTGTGTCCAGCGGGGGCCAGCACACAGTCTTACTGGTCAAGGACAAGGAACAGAGCTGATGAAGCCTATGAGGGCCTGGCCCCCACCTTCCCTCACTGAACAGGGAAGCAGAGACAGCTCCAGATTCCAGCAGCCTCTCCCCACCTCTCCCGAACACTGTCATCTCCTGCCTTTTTCCCATCAACAGAGCAGAATCATTCTTCTCTTTTTCGTCCTCCTTCCTAGAATCATCCTGCTGGGCCAGGGATTTAGTCCAGTAGTTCAGGGGCCTGCCTCAAAAGCGCAAGGTCCCCAGTTCGATCCCTGTTACCAAAAAAAAAAAAAGCAATCACTAGAATCATCCTGCTACCTGCAGGATGAAGCGGGGAGAGGAGGGGTTGTCAGAAGGAACATTGCTTAACCTCACCACAGATCTGTGTGGTTAGACCTTTTATCCCACTTCCCTGACTCTGACTTTGCCTTCCACAATACCAGGATGCCCTCCTTTGGGAGTTTGGTGCCTGCACTCTGAGAAGTTGGGGCTCCACCAAGCCCCACACTGGTCACATGCCACTCTTCCTGTTCTAACAGTCCCCAGGCAGACAGATGGTTATAGTCATCAGACGCAGCTGTCATGGACCGAGGCCTGGGGCAGCTGGAGAAGGGGCAGGGCTACAGAGCCATGGGCAACCTCAAGCCAAATATTTGGCTCTGAACAGGTGTCCATGGGGCAAGACAATGATTCACTTGATGAAGAAAAAAGCCAACTACTGTAGCTGTTCTCCCAAAGCACAAAGTATAGTCTGCCCATCAGTGTCGTTTGTATGGTCCCTGTCCATTGGGCCTCACCTGCAGCCAAGGACCCCAGAGCCCCACTGTGCTGGGCAGAGAGAGGATGGAGGTTTTATACACAAATGTACAGCAATATTAAGAGGCGAGGGAGGGGAAGAGGCTGCTCCCAAGAAAAGGAAGCAGCAATCTGAACAGTGGCTGAGAAAATATTTTTAATTTTTTTAAATTGTAAAATATTTTGGGGAGGAGAGTGAGACCTTGTAACACTTTGAATAAAATTAGAGTTTTATAAAATAGGCCACTTATTTTTCTACACACTTGCTGTTTTTTCAAGGCAGCAACCTACATGTGCTAAGCATTGTTGGGAAGAGCAAAATAAGCGCATGCCCCTGATCTTGGTGTTACCTACAGCTCGAAGGATGTCCCTGGTGCCTGTGGGTGCCTCCAACGCTCTTCAAATCCATCAGAAAGGAGAAAGGAGTTTGGAATGCTTATGCTTCAGGAATCACTGGAGTAAAAAAGAAAAAAGATGGTGCAGTAATGCAAGAGAAATGGGATGGTTCTTTTAATTTTCTAAACCAAGGTTTTTGAGTATATTAAATCTTTAGAAATGCTTACTGAACTCCACATTCTTTCAATAGCAGATGTATGTATTTAAACAATTACAGGGTCGGGGATTTAGCTCAGTAGTTCCACCTTCCTCGAAAGTGCAAGGTCCTGAGTTTGATCCCCGATACAAAAAAAACATTAATTACAAGCCTTGGGGTGCAGCTCAGGTAGAACGCTTGCCTAGCATCCAATCCCCAGTACCAAAAATAAACAATTACATGTCTTAATACAGTTTATGTACACTATAGATTTCTTTTTTTTTTAATCACTATAGATTTTCATAAGCATTGAGCAAACAAATCAGGGCTGACCTGCCCAGTGTAGTAGTCACCAGCTATATATGGCTATTTATGTTTAAGTCAATTTAAAAATTTGTTAAACTTTCAGTTGTACAAACCACATTTCAAGTGGTTGATAATGTATGGCTTGTGCTTGTGGTGTTAGACCACACAAATATAGAATATTTCCATCTCAGCAGAAAGTTCTTTATATATATAGTCTGAGGCTGGGCATGATGGTGCATGCCTGTAATTCTTGTACTTGGGAGGCTGAGACAGGAGGATTGGGCCAGCTGGGGCTATATACCGAGAATGCGTCTCAGAAAAGGGTGTGTAGGGCTGGGATTTAGCTCCATGCTGCTGCCTGCCTTGAAAGTGCAAGGCCCTGAATCTGATCCCCAGGACCAAAACAAAACAAAAAGGGTGTGTAGCTGGGTGTGGTGGCACATGCCAGTTGCAAGTTCCAACCTGGGCTCTGGCAGGTCCCTTTCTCTGACAGGGCTGGGGCTAGAGCTCAACATTCCTTCTGTGTGGGGTCGGGGGAGGCATCTGTGTGTAACAGAGTCAGTGGGACCAGTAGGATTTTTGGATGTGAGATGTTAGTGATTTTTGGAAAAAGTGACTGTAATATAGAAAATTATGGGGGTTTTTTGGTACCAGGGATCAAACTCAGGACCTTACAGTGCCACTGAGCTAAATCTCCGACCCTAGAAAATTATGATTTTTTTTCCTTGAGATTTTGGGTTTTTTTTTTTAATTTGTTTTGGGCTTTTTTTTCCTTTGGTACTGGGGATCAAACTCGGGTCCTTGTGCTTGCACAGCAGGCAGCGAAACCACTGAGCTAAATCCCCGGCCCTGTTTTGGGCTTTTTGAGACAGGGTCTTTTTTATTTTTTTTATTTTTTTTGGTACCGGGGATCGAACTTGGGACCTTGCACTTAGGAGGCAGACGCCAGAACCACTGAGCGAAATCCCCATCCCTGAGATAGGGTCTTGCTATGAATGTAGTATAGGCTGGCCTCAAACTCGTGTGGTGATCCTCCTGCCTCAGCCTCCCAAGTGCTGGGATTACAGGCCTGCACCACCACACTGGCAAGATTTAGTTTTGATGCAGGCACTTTTAAAAAAACTGTGGGGCCAGGGATTTAGCTCAGTGGTTTCACCACCTGCTGCGCAAGCGCAAGGACCCAAGTTCGATCCCCAGTACCAAATAATAATAATAGTAATAAAACTGTGAGGGCCAGGGATTTAGCTCAGTGGTTCCAGCACCAGCCTCACAACCACAGTGTCCCGAGTTCAATACCCAGTACTAAAAAAGAAAACTTTGTGAAAGCATTGAATGTCTGCTACTACTCCCTCCTCCTCCCAAAGACAGTCTACTTGAACTATGTCTACTGGAATTTTTCAGTGCCAGGGACCAAACCCACAGGCTAAGGAAGTGTTCAACTACTGAGCTACATCCCAATCCCTAGGGTCCATCCAGCTAAGTGTGATGGTGCACGCCTGTAATCCCAGCACTTAGGAGGTTGATACAGGATTGCCACAAGTTCCGAGCCCAGTCTGGGCTACATAGTTTGTTCAAGGCCAGCCTACACTACACAGTGAGATCCTAATTCAGGAAAAAAAACCAAACAGTTCTTGTGCATTGGGACTTAAAAGGGCCAGCCACTTAATAGGCAGTAGCTTGTTTAATTGTCAGAGCGCTTCAGTGTAGGAATTACTGTTACTCAGAAATTACTGTTCTCAAGAGTTGGAGTGACTTGTTTGAGGTCCAGAAGCTACCAAGTGCCCCAAGTAGGGTGGATGCTAGCCACCTAATCTAGGAACCTGTCTCTTCCTCTTTTTTTTTTTTTTGGTACCGGGGATTGAACTCGGGACCTCGTGCTTTCAAGGCAGGCGGCAGAACCACTGAGCTAAATCCCTAGCCTGGACCTTGTGCTTTCAAGGCAGGTGGTGGAGATCTTCCTCATTTTTTTGAATGAGTTGTAAAGCTCTCTAGGTGCTTAACTTAGAATGGAACCAAGCACATAGTAGATGCTGTACAAGACTCTTGTTATGATTATTACACATTTTTTTAATTTTCTGTGGTTAATGAGATTTTTTAATTTTTTTTTTTTTGGTACCGGGGATCAAACTCGGGTCCTTCCGTTTGCAGGGCAGGCGGCGGAACCACTGAGCTAAATCCCCGGCCCGATTTTTTAATTTTTGATGGTGCTAGGTATCAAGCCATGGCCCTCACACATGCTAGACAAGCACTTTGCTGCTGAACTACACTGTAGCCCTACTGTGTGTGTGTGTCTGTCTGTCTGTCTGTGTTTTGTTTTTGTAGTACAGGTGATTGAATCCAGAGCCTTCATACTGAGCTACACTCCCCCCCCCGCCCCGCCTTTTTGTGGGTCTTTTGGGGATGAGGGGGATTAGGGAGGTTTTGAGACAGTCTCCCCAAGTAATTTAGGCTTGCCTTGAACTCCCACTGCTGGGATGGCAGGAGTGGGCTACCACACCCAACAACCCCCCCCCCTTTTTTTTAACTTTTTGAGGTAGGGTTTCCCTAAATTGCCCATCCTGGTCTAAAGTTGCAATCCTCCTGCCTCAGGCTCCCAGAATTCTGGGATTACAGGTATGCACCACCACACCTCCCTAAGAAATACACTTTTAGGGAAAAGATTTGAAAACAGTAATCTCAAGGGAATGGAAGTTGCAGGCAGGAATAGGTAGGGTAAGGGACTTCTGTCTTGCTTATGTCTTAAATTCAGCAAATATTTTTTCAATCCCTACCAAATCCCAGACATTGTAGGAATTTGAATTTCATTAGAAAACAAAGTGAACAAGCCTGACTCATGAAACATTTTTTTTCTCCAGCTGATGTTGGAGAATTTACTAGCTGTCAGGCGTTTGTGAATTGCTTTCCCATCTCCTCACACCACCACCACCACCACCACCACCACCCCACCCCCCACCCCCTGCCCCAACACACACACACAGCACTGAGGTGAACACTGATTAAACACATTAGGCTCAGAGGTTAAGTGATGTCTGTTTTTTACTTTGGGGTACATCCTAAGCTTGGGATGTGGAGACTGGTAGGGAAAGACTTTAGGGGCCACTCAGGCACTTAAGAGTGGACATCACCATCAGAAACTCCCAGGCACAGAAGCTTTCCTTTCTGGAGTAGGTACCGATTGACTTCAACCCTAGCACAGGCCTAGAAGCTCAGCTCTCAAAATTAAACTATTAAAACTAGGCGTGGTGGAGCTCACCTGTAATCCCAGCACTCAGGAAGCTGAGGCAGGAGGATCCCCGAGAGTTCAAGGCCAGCCTGAACTACAAAAGGAGATCCTGCCTCAAAAAACAAAACAACAGGGCTGGGGATTTAGCTCAGTGGTTCTGCTGCCTGCCTCATAAGTGCAAGGTCCTGAGTTAGATCTCCAGAACCAAAAAAGAAAAAACAACAACAAAAATTAAACTATTAAACTGAGTGTCATGGCGCACATCTGTAATCCCAGGTTTCTGGGAGGTTGCTGCTGTAAGAGTAAATTCGAGCTCAGCTGTAAAATTTAGTGACAGTTGCCTCGCAAGTGCAAGGTCCCGAGTTCGATCCCCTGTACCAAAAACCCCCAAACAGCAAGAGCCTGTTTAAAAGGGGGGTGGGGTTGGAATGGGGTTTGGAGGAGTTAGCTCTGGGTTCCATCCCTAGAAGGGGAGGAGGTGTGGACCTAGTAGGATTATCTACTTGTCCAACCAGTGTTTATTGAGGCCCTTCCATGAGTAGGTCACTGTTCTGGGACAGGTGAGAGCCCCTAGCGTTTCGGAATTTGATAGAGACTCATGAAAGTAGGACAGGACCTGGGTTGGGTATTTTTGGTTTTTGGTACGGGGGATCGAACTCGGGTCCTTGAGCTTGCGCAGCAGGCGGCGAAACCACTGAGCTAAATCCCCAGCCCCAAGACCTGGCTATTGACCGATGAGATGACATCCCAATTTACACTCCCTTTAGTGCTCCCCACCCTCCACCCCAGGGTTACAGGAGACGACAGAAAATTCCCATTCCGGCTTCAGCAAAACTCTTATGTTTTGCGAACTGGGATATGTAGGGTTGTTTTTATTATTTATGTTTTCAATATTTTACAACGAGGATACATTAATTTTGGGGTCATGTGTATATGTACGTAGTGCCGTATGCGGCTCGTCACGTACGGAAAGTCAGAAGCTACCCGAGACCCCACCAACCCCAGACTCCGGCCTGAGCCCCGCCCATTGCGATCCGGAAGCTGGGCGCCCATCGGAGGACTCGGGAAAACCCGGAGCGGCATTCCTAGACAGATGGGCCGCGGACTTTCGGCGCGTGCGCAGAAGGTGTCGCAGGCGCTTACTCCGGGGCGGTCCCTATATCGCGGACTGGCGCCAGCGCGCGCCTCTCAGGCCCGCAAAGTCCGCGCCCGGGTGCGGGATGGCGGCCAGCCTGTGGATGGGAGACGTAAGTGAGGGCGGGCGCCGGGACTCTGAGGAGAAGGAGGAATCGCAGTATCGCGAGGGAGGAATGGGTCCGAGGGGGAGGGGACTTTGAATCCCAAAAGGCTGGAAGTGAAAGGAAGAAGCGGGTCCCAGCCTCGTCAGAGCGGAGGGGCTGAGTCGGCCGGTATGGGGGGGGGACTCCTCGGGTGGGGCCCTTGATACGTGGAAGGGTGAGGGCAGGTCCTTTGAGGGGCGGAAATGGAGGCACCCCCAGGATTGGGGGCGCTGTGGTTCTGGGGTGGGGTATGGGATTCCCAGGTCTTGGCGGGGGCGGGGGGGGGTTCCCTGGGAGGCGCAGGTGTGAAGTGAAGTTGGTGCTCACGCCCTCTGCGCGGCCCCGTCGGCGCGCAGCAGGGCCCCCGCGTGGCCGGCCGGGGGCGGGGCTCGGCCCGGTCCGCCAGCCTGGACGCGGGCCTGAGCCGCCCGCCCCTCCTTGTACGCAGCTTGAACCCTACATGGATGAGAGCTTCATCTCCAGAGCCTTTGCCACCATGGGGGAGACCGTGATGAGCGTCAAAATTATCCGAAACCGCCTCACTGGGTATGTGTCTTTTTCCGTCTTCTCTCTTATCCCTTAATGGATCTTGCTGCGGCTGTCATTCAAAAGAATGTAAATATAGAAAAGTCAGGGTTTCTCTCTACTCCTGATAATAGTAATCACAGTGTTGTAAGGGGTGACAGTGTAGAGACTCAGGGGACAGACTGGGTTTGAAAAGTGCTGTATTTCTGCTATGTAACGTTGGGTAGGTTACTCGATTGTGAAAATGGGAATAATAATAATACCACCTACCTCATAAGTGAGGATTAAATGAATTCCTATTCAGCATTTAGAATAGTGTCATATGTTATATCCTCAGTTAATAGCAACAGATTATAATCTGATAATAAACGCTTTACATTCATTGTCTTTTTAGTTTTTGGTGTGTCTTTGAGGGGGGTTGGCACTGGGATTCGAATTCAGGCCCTTGAGCTTGCCAGGCAGGTGCAGCACCACTGAGCCAAATCCCTACCTGTGTCTTTTTGGTTTTTTGAGACAGTCTCACTCTTTAGCCCAGACTGGCCTCAAACTAACAGTGATCTTTTTGCTTCAGTCTCCTTTTTGTTTTTGTTTTTTGAGACAGGGTCTTGCTATGTAGTTCAGGCTGGCCTCCAACTCGTGTGATCCTCCTGCCTCAGCTTCCTGAGTGCTGGGATTACAGGCATGCTCCACTATGCCAGGCTTCTAGTATTTACTTTTTTTTTTTTTTTTTGGTACCAGGGATCAAACTTGGGATCTTGCGCTTGCTGGGCTGGCAGCAGAACCACTGAGCTAAATCCCCGGGCTTATAGTACTTACTTTTTTAAAAATTTATTTATCTTGGGGGGGGGGCTACTGGGGGATTGAACTCGGGACCTTGTGCTTGCAAGGCAGGCACTGGAACCACTGAGCTAAATCCCCAGCCCTAGTACTTACTTTTTAAAGAGAATAAGAGTAGTTTTCGTAGGTCACATCCTACATTTTGAATTCATCTGTTTCCTTGTGATATTTTACCTGTTGTATTGCTCATATTTCCTATAAACTAGTCAGTGATGGTGAACCTTTCAGAGCTTTCAGTAATAACAAACAAGCAGCTGTGGCACATGTGCCATAGGTTTGCCACCACTGAAGTAGATGTTAGACCTAAAAGCTTGATTTGATTCCATTAAACATTCTTGCCAAGAGTACTTCACAGATGATACAGTACATAAATGAATGTTTACTGATTGTGTCTGGGACTGGCCAGGTTGGCAGTCCTTATGTTCATTTTGTAAGTTATATGTCCACTGGAATATGGGAGCAAACAAAAATAGTATGGGTTGTGATTAGAAAGCCATTTCTCCTTTCCTTTGAGCCAAGACCTAACTGGATTAACCATTCTCTTCTGCTTGCTTTCTTTTCAGGATCCCAGCTGGCTACTGCTTTGTAGAATTTGCAGATTTGGCCACAGCTGAGAAGTGTTTGCATAAAATTAATGGGAAACCCCTTCCAGGAGCCACACCTGTAAGGACATTGAGATAATGACGATGTTGCCATTTTTATTGTCATTGATTGCCATCACTTACTGAATCCCTACTGTATGCTTACTTACATCATTTTATTTAATCCTGTAACCACCCTATGCAGTAGGCTTTGTTATCTTTGATAGACAAGGGAACTGAACCTCAGGGAAGTAAAATAACTTGCTCAAGGCAACAAAGGTAGTAAGTGACGTAGCCACGATTCAGATAAGATTGGTTGCTTCCAAAACCTCCCCTTTCCACTGTGCATCATTGCCTCCCTCCTGAGATGGAAGACTTGAAATGCTAGGTCTTTTGCCTGATGGAGAAACTAGAACAGGCTGGCAGCAGCAAGAATACATTTCAAGAGAGTTACATTCTGCTCTTCCCACAGTTACTTAGCTTACAGCTGCACCAGCTGGCACACCTGGGCTCATAGAACCATGGAGCTGGCAGTGCCCTTAACGGTCATCCGTGCAACCCCCTCATTTTATACAGGAGAAAAGGCTGAGGCTTAGAGAGGGGGAGATATTTTGGCCAAGGTAATTTATTTCAGTTTTTTTCAAATATTGTTTGACTCTTGAAACACTTTTCTCTGTTTTAGTGTGTTTCTTTTTAAATTTCTAGGCAAAACGTTTTAAACTGAACTATGCCACTTATGGGAAACAGCCAGACAATAGGTAAGTATAGAGCAGCCCCAAGATAGCATCCAGCTTCAGAAAATGCCTAGACAGTGTGCCAGTCACTGCCGTGAGGAGGATGGAGAACAAAGTTTGGTTGTACATGTCCCCTCCCAAAGGAGCACATCTTTCCATTTCTCCATTGGTGGACCTTCCTGGGGTGCCTCATGCCATTTTTAGTCCCACCTCTAGCCTTGCACCATTAACTCTCCACAGTATGGAGGTTTTATTTGGTAAGAACCTACTGGTTGTCCCTAGGGGTGGTTGTGCATACTATAAACTCAGCTACTCTGGAGACTGAGATAAGGGGATCACAAGTTCAATACCAGCCTGGCAATTTAGTGAGACCATCTCACAAAAGGGGGTGGGGTACAGAGATGTACCAAATGTAACAGGCAGTAGCTCATTTAATCTTCAGAGCCCTTTAGTATAGAAATTACTGTTCAGAGATGTGTCCAGGAGTAGACCACCTCTAGGTTCCATCCTCAGTACTGCAAAGAGAAAATTTAAAAAGGACTGGGGATATAGCTCATTTGGTAGAGTGCTTGCCTAGTATGCACGAGCCACTGAGTTCAATCTCTAGTGTTGCCAAAAAAAAAAAATTACCTGTCATAGCAATGTAAATTGATTAGCATTTCAGTTTGCTATGTGAAAATTTGTGGAGTTTTTTTGTTTCGTGTTGTTTGTTTATTGGCTGTACTGGTGATTGAACCCAAGGCCTTTGTACTAAGCTACTTTTTTTTTGAAGATAGTCTCTCACTAAGTCCCTAAGTTTCCCTGGCTGGGCTCAAATTAGTAGTCCTGCTTCAGCATTGCAGAGTGCTGGGATTACAGGCCTGTGTCACCACCAAGCCTACTTATATGAAAATGGTAAAACATCATCATCTGGGGATGGTGGGACACACCTCCACATGCCTGTAATCCCAGCACACTAGGAGGCTGAAGTAAGAGGATAATGAATTCAAGCCCAGCCTTAGCAATTTAGTGAGACGCTGTCTCAAAATGAAATATAAAAGTGGCTGGGAATTTACCTCAGTATGAAGGCCCTGAGTTCAGTTGTTTTTTAGTTTTTCTCTTTTGTTTGTTTCTTTGTTTTCTTCCCCTTTTTTGGTACCAGGGATCGAACTCAGGACCTTGTGCTTGTTTGGTTTTTTGATTTGTTTTGTTTTGTTTTTGAGACAAGGTCTTGCTATGTACTTCAGAACTCACATGCCAGACAGCCATGGACTATATGCTGAAACCCTGTCTCAAAAAAAAAAAAAAACTCAGGCTGGGGATTTAGCTTAGTGGTGCTGCACCTGCCTGGCAAGCACAAGGTCCTGAGTTCAATCCCTGGTACCAAAAAAACAAAAAAAGCCCCTCACCAATCCTGCTGCCTCAGGCTGCCAAATTCCAGAGTGCTGGAATTACAGGTGAGTGCCACCATGCCCAGCTTTTTTGGTTTTTTGAGACAGGGTCTTATGTAGCTCAGGCTGGATTTCAATTTACTGTGAAGCCCAGGCTAGCCTCCAACTCTTAGCGATCCTCCTGCCTCAGTCTCCTGAGGGCTAGGATTACAGATGTGTGACACCATCCCCAGCATAAGTTGTTATTTTTTTTTTTTGAGAAGAAAAAAGAAAACAATATATAAAACCCTATGAAAGTTTTGTACCTGTTGACCCTGTACATTTACTTTTTAGAATTTATTCATAGATGTATGCAGATCAGCCTCAAAAGAAGTAATACATATAATGGTAAAGTTGGGAGAAAAACTATATACCCTAATAACAGAGAAGTGGTTAAGTTACACTATATTACCTAACTGGAATACTGTGTATTGGTAACTAGTCATGTTGCAGAATACAGATGGGTCAGGATATTAGGATATGGTTTTATGGTTTGGTTTGGTTTGTTTTTTTTTAAGAGATAGGGGCTTGCCAAGCGTGGTGGCACAAGCCTGTTATCCCAGCACTCAGGAGGCTGAGGCAGGAGGATCACCACCAGTTCAAGGCCAGCCTGGGCTACATAGTGAGGTCAAGGCAAGCCTGAATCACATAGCGAGACCCTATCTCAAAAATCCAGAAGCAAACGAAAGAAAAAAGCTAAAAATGACAGAAAACATTATGGGTTGTATTCAACTTTTGTAAATTCAGAAGAAAAGTCATAGAAAAAAGTACATATCAGAATTTATAGTGATTGCATTTGAATGGTTAAATTATTGATAATTTTATTTTCTTTGTGCTTTTATATATATATATATTTTTTGTTTTGTTTTGTTTTGTTTTGTTTTGTTTTTTTTGGTACCAAGGATCGAACTCAGGACCTTTCACTTTCGTGACTAGGTTTTTTTTTTGGTACTGGGGATTGAACTTGGGAACTTGGACTTGCAAGGCAGGTGGTGACACCACTGAGCCAAATCCCCAGCCTATTTTTGTATATTCTTTTTTTTTTTTCTTTTTGTACTGGGGATTGAACTCAGGTCCTTGCGCTTGTGCAGCATATTTTTGTATATTTTAATTGAAATAAAAGGATTTAGCTCAGTGGCCCCACGGCTGCCTCACAAGTACAAGGTCCTGAGTGATCCCTGGTACCGAGGGGGAAAAAAAATAAAAGAAAAGAAAAACAAGAAGAAAAAACAAAGGGCAACCCATTCAGGACCCCTTCTGTCTCTCGGGAGCTACTCTTATTCCCCATTCCCATTCCCCAATAAATTATTTTAAAATATTGATTGAAATAAATAACAGTAATAACAAATGTTTGGTTATTATTTGGTACTAGGGCTTCAATGCAAGGCCTTGTACAAGTTAAGCACTCTTATGCCACTGAGCCACACCCAAGCTCATGTGTTTCCATAGAATTTTTGTTTTTAAAGACGGTCTCACTTTGTAGTTCAGGCTGACCTTGAACTCACTATAGAGCCCAGGCTGGCCTCCAACTCACAGCAATCCTCCTGCCTCAGCCTCCCTGCTGGGATTACAGGGGTGCACCATCACACCCAGCTAAGAGCTAAAATAATTACTATCTAGCCCTTTACAGAAAAAGTTTGTTGATCCTTATTTAAAAGTTTGTGAGGGCCGGGGATTTAGCTCAGTTGTTCCGCCGCCTAACTCACAAGCGGAAGGACCCGAGTTCCATCTCTGGCACCAAAAAAATAAAAATTTGTGGATTTCATTTTAACTAGACTTTAGGTTTCAAAAAATAACCAGTTTTAGCGGCCAGGACTGTAGCTCAGTGGCACTGTGCCTGTATGGCAAGCACAAGGTCCTGAGTTCGATCCCTGGTACCCAGAAAAAATATATATAACCAGCTCACTCGTGCTCTCTCACTCTCTCTCTCTTTTTTGGTACTGGGGATCAAACTCGGGACCTTGCACTGCAAGGCAGATGCCAGAACCACTGAGCTAAATCCCTGGCCCTCTTTTTTTTCAATTGGTGCTTCTGAGGATTGAACCCAGAGGTAGCATTGGGCTACATCCCAGCCCTTTTTTATTTTGAGACAGGGACTTACTAAGTTCCCCAGTCTGGGCTGAAACTTCCAAGCCCTCCTGCCACAGCCTCCCAGAGTGCTGAGGATACAGTTGTGCACTACCACGCTTGGCTTCTCTATCTCTTTTTTTTTTTTTTTTAATTTTGGTACCAGGGATCAAACTTGGGACTTGCTGCTTTCCAAGCAGGTGGCGGAACCACTGAGCCAAATCCCCGGCCCCTTCTCTGTCACTTTTTAACATTTAAATTAAAAGTACACACGTTAGCTGGCCACGGAATGGCATGCCTATAATCCCAGTGGGCTCAGTGCCAGCCTGGGCTACATAGCAAGACCCTGTCTCAAAAAAACTCAGAATGTCTAGTTTCTTTCAAAAGAAAATTTTATCTTTTGTGCTCCTCAGGGATGTGCCCCTGACTTGCCCCGCCATCTGTATTCACAAATACTAAAACCTGGACAGGCATTGTTTAGTGGGTGAGGAATTCAGGGCAGGGGGCCCTTTCCATTTCCTTTCCTCTTCTGTCAGAGTGATAATAAAACAAATTTGAACCTGGTTAAACTTCGTATGTAGGAGGCCCTGGAGTCTATCCCCTGCACAGCAAAAAAAACCCCAGAATCTGGTTAAGTAGACCTATCAAGAGGTGGGGCTCCTTAAGAATCCCCTGGAGAGATTTACTTGGAGTAGGCCAGAATTGCTCTGTAGAGCAAGATTTTCATCTTTGTCACTGACTCTTGCTCTCTCCTCTCAGTCCTGAGTACTCCCTCTTTGTCGGGGACCTGACCCCTGATGTGGATGACGGCATGCTGTATGAGTTCTTCGTCAAAGTCTACCCTTCCTGTCGGGGAGGCAAGGTGGTTCTGGACCAGACAGGCATTTCTAAGTAAGGCCCTCCCTTCCCTGAAGTCAGTATATTACTTGCAGCATCTTCTCCCCTGGGGAAAATATTACAGAGAAGGCATGAAGCACGGGGGTTGAGAGCATAGGCTCAGGAGCTAGACTGCCTGGTTTACTTTTTGTTGTTGTTGTTGTTACCGGGGATCGAACACTGGTCCTTGCACTTGCAAGGCAAGCATCCCACTGAGCTAAATCCCCAACCCCATAGACTGCCTGGTTTAAATCTCAGCTCTAGTACTGGCAAGGAGCAGTGCTGTGGGAAAAGTACCAAGCCTCTGCCTCTTTCCTCATCTGTAAAATGGGGCTGATAGTAGCTCATAGGATTAATGTAAGGATTAAAGGATATAATCACATAGGAAATGCTTTATGTTTGCTCTTTTATTGTTACTGAGCCTTTCAGTTTAGTTCGAAGTTTTTCACTTCAAAAATGAAAAATCTCGGGGCCAGGGATTTAGCTCAGTGGCGCTGAGCCTGCCTCGCAAGCTCACGGTCCTGAGTTCAATCCCTAGTACCAAACAAAAACGATAATCTCAAGAAATGTTGGGCTGGGGATTTAGCTCAGTGGTTCTGCCTCCTGTCTCGTAAGCACAAGGACCTGAGTTCAATCCCCGGTACCAAAACAAAAAAAAAGAAATGCTTTTTTTCAGTTCTTCTTTTGTGGTGTTGGGGATCAAACCCAGGGCCTCACATATACTAGGCGAGTGTTCTACCACTAAGTCACATCCCCAGCCCAAGAAAAACTCACTCTTTTTTTTTTTTTTTTTTGGTACCAGAGATCGAACTCAGGACCTTGCGCTTGCAAGGCAGGTGCAGTGCCACTGAGCTAAACCCCCAGCCCTGAAAAACTCATTCTTGATCAGCATAGTAGTCATAAACTTATGTTTTGGGAGCCTGAAGATACAGATTTGAATCCTGCTTCTATTATGTATGACTTTGGGTAAGTTATTAAACCTCTCTGAACTTTGGCTACCTCAGTAAAATGTGGATACCACCTTCATGTAATTATTGGATGGTTTCACTGAATGTGGTAGCACACACGTATAATCCCAGCACTCTGGGAGGCTGAGGCAAAATGATTACAAATTTGACCCCAGCTTGGGTAACTTGGCTACTTAGCTAAACCCTGTCTCAAAAAAAGGTAAAGACCTAGAGATGTAGCTCAGTGTGAAGGCCCTGAGTTCAATTCCCAATATGGAGGGGTTGGGGGGTTAGGATAATTAGATGAAATAACCCTGGGAAAATTTTCAGCATAGTGCTTGGAAATAAGTGCTCATTAGATGTTAGCTGTCATTAACTTATTCCCTGACTAGAATATGATCTCCAGCGAGCAGGAATTGGTTCTAACTACTGTGTCCCATGCCTGGTGCAATACTGGGCATTCAGGGCAATTTCTGAAAACATTTGCAGAGTGAACTTCAACCATTATTACTACTAATATTAAGATAATAATAATTTGTTACTGGGCTGGGGATTTAGCTCAGTAGTTTCGCTGCCTGCTGCGCAAGCTCAAGGACCCGAGTTCGATCCCTGGTACCAAAAATAAAACAAAATAATAATAATTTGTTACCTTCCAGTACAATGGGAGGGAAGCTGTTATTTGGGAAGAAACCCCATCGGTGAACTGAAAGTGAAGATCCCTGCAGATTTCATCATCATCCAAGGCTTGAATCCCAACACCACTGTGTGGACATTTCCATTAATGGGACTCACATCCCTTCCCATAATTTGATGGACTCCCCCTCCCTTCTCAGCTCCTATTCTCCACATTCTGGCCCACATTGTTGCTCTTTCCTCTTTGTCTAATGTCCATTCTTAGACTTCATCACATCTGTGATCTAAGTGTGTTGGGGTTTTTTTCCCCTGTAGGGGTTATGGTTTTGTGAAATTCACAGATGAATTGGAACAGAAGCGAGCCCTGACAGAGTGCCAAGGAGCAGTAGGACTGGGGTCTAAACCTGTACGGCTGAGCGTGGCAATCCCTAAAGCGTGAGTCTCTCGGAGGGGTGAGGGGAAGGGACTCAACCCACCTGGACACTCATCTGTTGGCCGAGAATCAGCATCCACATCCTGAAAGGGAGGCTGCAGGGAGGTTTAGTTCAAGTCACAAATACTAATCGTTCGTTTTTTCCCAGACTGGGTGCTGGGTGTTAGAGATGAACTAACATAACCTCACCACTCAGAAGCTTAGGGACTAGATATGAAGGGAGGCAGGTAGATTTCGATATGAGTGGCAGAAACAGTACAAAAGGTGTTATACATTCAAACTGTTATACAAAAGCTGGGTAGGGCCGGGGATTTAGCTCAGTGGTTCCGCCGCCTGCCTCGCAAGCGCAAGGTCCCAAGTTCGATCCCCAGTACCAAAAAAAAAACAAAAACCTGGGTATACATTCGTAATGTCCCTGCTCTTTCCTCAGTAGTGCCACTGCTGGGAATTTGTCCATAGAATTAGTAAGAATTGAGCCGAAGGATGTTGGTCAAGGCAGCCTGTAATTCCAGCACTGGGGAGGTTGAGACAGGAGAATTGTTCATTGAAAGCCAGCCTGGGGTATTTAGTGAGACCTTGTCTCAAAAAAATAATTGGGCCGGGGATTTAGCTCAGTGGTTTTGCCACCTGCCTTGCAAACACAAGGACCTGAGTTCAATCCCCAGTACCAAAAATAAAATAAATAAAGAATTGAGCAGGAAGAAAAAAGTTACATCTAATTTTAGCCTTTTTCATATTAATGAAACCTGCAAGTCTCCTCTGAAAGTCCTTTGCTATAGAAATGGCTAAGAATTAAATCCATACACTAGGAGTATTTTATTTATTTATCTATTTATTTTTGCGGTACTGGGGATCGAACGCAGGACCTTGCACTTGCGAGTCAGGCATGGTGCCACTGAGCTAAATCCCCAGCCCATCTTTTTTTTTTTTTTTTTTTTTGGTACCAGGGATCAAACTCTGGTCCTTGCGCTTGGGAGGCAGCCAGTGGGACCACTGAGCTAAATCCCTGGCTGAGTATTTTATTTTCGAATGCTCCCTCCACGTCCAGAGTTGCTGTCTACCATCTCTTCTGCCTTCCCCCAACTTTCAAATAAATTGTCTCCTTTAATTAAAAAAAAAATTATATATGCATATCACTATTGTAGCTGTTATGCTAGATAGAAAACTTTTCTAGGTAGAAAATCCTTCTTCCCTTACAAGTCCAGGCAGATTCCTAGTGCAGATGTAAGACATCTTTTCTCTGAATAGCATCTTTCATCCTTTAGCTGAGGCTGTGGTTCTCATCTGGAGAAGATTTTGCCCCCCAGGGGACATTGGCAATATCTAGACATTTTTGGTTATTAGAACTGAGGATGTGCTAATGGTATATAGTGGGTTGTAGCCAGGGATGCTGCTAAACATCCTACAATCCATAGGTCAGCCCCCACAACCAAAAATTATCTAACAACACCCACCTTCCCCTAGCTGAGTAGTTCCAAGGCTAAGAAATCCTGCTTCAAAAGGGCAAGAGTAGGGCTGGGGATTTAGCTCAGTGGTTTCACTGCCTGCTGCGCAAGCACAAGGACCCAAGTTCGATCCCCAGTACCAAAAAAAAAAAAAAAAAAGTGCAAGAGTAGCTGTACTCTTGAGAGGGAAGGCGTAAGATGGGAGTCTTGTTATGTAGTACAGGCTGGCCTTGCACTCACCATATAGCCCAGGATGGCCTCACACTTGGAGTCCCACCCCAGCTTCCTGTATATTGGGATTATAGGTGTCTATCATCCTGCCCGGCTTAACTGCCTTTAACACATTGAAGATCAGCCTGAGTATTCTATCCCAAAATAATGTTATTTGTTGTGTAAGCTCTACTATATAAAGATGTTAAAGAATTTTTTTTCAGCGCTCGATTAAACCCAGGGTCTCATGCTTGCCAGGCAAGTCTTCTACTATTGAGCTACATCCTCAGCTCTTTTTTAAAATTTTTATTTTGAAATAGTCTTGCTAAGTTGTCCAGGCTGCACTCAAACTTGTGATGCTTCTATGTTAGCCTCCCAAGTAACTGGGATTATAGGCATGTGCCACAAGACTGCAAAATATTAAAAATATATACATTTTATATATAGCAACTGTAGAAGTCTTTGTGTATGTTCTCTGTCTAGCAATTCCTTGGTTGTTGACTGTTCTGGCTGTTTCTGGAGTGTTAACCAGTTTTTCAGTCAGTAACTACTGAGTCCCCACAACTATGCAGACTGTCCTAGACTTTGAATATATGGTTATAAACAAGAGAAACAAAGTCCTTTCTGCAGTGTTATATTATCTGTTGTACCTATTCTTCATTGAACATGGTTGTCACTGACTGGTGCTTGCCTGAGTCAGTGCCCCCAACCTCTGGGGATGGAGGTGATCTGAGTTCCCTTGGAGAATTTGACTATAGCAGCTGAATGTGGAGAAACAGCAGAAATGTGTTTTCCCAAAGAAGACAAAACCAGCCCCAGGCCAGGGAAACTGCCTTCAGTTACCCCATTGTGTAAGGAGGTAGTGGATATTCTTTTTTTTTTTTTGGTAGTGGGGATCAAACTCGGGTCCTTGCTGCTTGCACAGCAGGCTGCGAAACCACTAAATCCCCAGCCTAGGGCTGGATATTCTTGGAGTCATGAAAGGGAGCCAAAGGGGGGAATATTGGGAATCACTAACTAGGCAGGGAGGAGGTGTCTCTGCCAGAGAATTAGGGAGAGCTCATTCAGGCTGGGAGCATTTGCAGTTTCTGTAACCGGGATTTATTTGTATGGTACTCAGCTCCCACTTGTGGCTTGGTTTCCTGTCTGTCTTGACTATAGAGATTCAATGTACCGATCCTGAGGAAACAAGTGTGTTCCACTTGTGTGTTTCACAAATGTGACTGTTTTGATTCTCCTTAAAAAAAAACCAGCCAGTTGGGGCCGGGGATTTAGCTCAGTGGTTCCAGCGCCTGCCTCGAAAGTGCAAGGTCCCGAGTTTGATCCCCGGTACCAAAAAAAACCAAAAAACCAGCCAGTGGGACATGGTGAGTCAGTCAGCCTGTCTCCATGTTTGGTAGCACTTACAAGACACCGTCAGGCTCTTCAGAGCACGGTGACTGGAGATAGACTGCCACATACTGAGTCTTTGGTTCTCAGCTAGAACTGGTGGTCAGACTCCAGGCTTGTTTCACGAGACTATCACATGTAGTTGTCATTTTGTGGAAGATAATGGATCCTTTGTGGGCTTGGCATTCTGTTTTTGGGTAGCAGTGTCTATACCATTGCATTGAGAAGGAAGCTTTATGCCAACTTTGGGCCTCTGCCTTGATTGGTAAGCAAGGTGTGGTAAAGACTGGGAAGATGTTGTGAATTTGTCACAGCAGGTGCTGTAACAGTGTATGAGGAGCACTGTGTGACTTTAGGAATAGTTAATCTGGCATGGTGCACATCTGTAATCCCAAATCTGGGAGGCTGAGGCAGGAGGATTGCAAATTTGAGCCCAGCATGGGTAACTTTGCAGCTTAGCAAGATCCTGTCTCAAAATAAAAAATAAAGGGCTGGGGATATAGCTTAGTGCAAAGGCTTTGGGTTCAGAACCCAGTACCAAAAAAGAAAATGTCTCCTGCAGTCCAGGGTATGGCTTTAGACATATCACTTTAAGACCACTGGGTCTCATCTACAGTGGGAATAATAATATATAGCAATATTGGGGCCGGGGATTTAGCTCAGTAGTTCCAGTGCCTGCCTCGAAAGCGCAAGGTCCCAAGTTCAATCCCTGGTACCAAAAAAAAAAGAAAGAAAGAAATTAGATTTTTGAATCCACCAGATACAAAAAAATCTCAAAATTTAATTTCAAAATTAAAAACTTAAACCAGAGACTATATATGCTATTCATTTTCTGACCCTATAA